GATGTGGGAACCTCGAAATGGTGCAGAGACAAGAGTTTCGAATGTATACCAATACCATAGAAACATCGGGTCATGTGCTCCGGGTGCAGCTTCATGGGGTAGGACCTGAGATAGACCAAGAGGAGTGCCAGCCTCCACCCCACATAGTGTTTCTGAGTAGCTGTTCTCTTGCTAGGTCTCTTCTCTCCCCTTTCCCAGACCATTGGATCCTTGGGAAGCCTCAGGTTCCTGGGGTTCAGTGAGGAATTGGGAAGCTTTCATGATCAAGGGGCTGCCCCACTTCGATCTCTGTGTGTGAGGGAGACAGAGCAAATATCAGAGAAGGAGCTCATCACAGGACAGACAGAGCAGAATAATCACCAGCTAAAGGAGATCATTGAAGGACCCTCAAAATCAAAGACCAGAGTGAGTGAAGTGAGGAGGTTCACTCTGCATCAGAGAACACTGGAGAGTGGAAAAACAAGTCTTGGAATGGAAGCACATGAAGAGGGCTGGGTGTACTGGAAGACCCATGGGGCCCCAAGAACTCCGCACCTCTGATTCTGGCTTAGAAGAGGTCCAAGCCATCGAGCTGTGGCGAGGTCAGGGATTTTAATGAAATAGCATCTGTTAAGGAGGGCCGGGTGACTTAAGGGTTACCCTGCCCAAGGATCCCTGGCCTGGGCCAGTTTCTGGATGTGTTCTGGAAGCCAGTGCTTATTACCACTTTATTCTTGGAGACATTGAGTGAATCAACAATGAACTGAGCCAAAGTTTAAAAATATCTGTGTAGAAATGTAACAAGTGCTGAGAATATGGCCAGATTGTGAATAGAAGGCTACAGCAGCAGAATTACCTTTTGAAAAACCCACAAGGCTGGAATCCAAAAGCCAGTTCCCAGAAGATATATTCATAAGATCTTTCCAGAAAAATAACATCTGAGTCAAGAGGGCTCTTTCGGCCCACCCCCTGGAATTAGTAAAGTCCTTTGCAACCTCTCAGCAACGTCCAAAACTGGTTCTCTCGCTTCTGAATGTGCCTGAGAACAGGACGCTGCCTCACCCAGGGAATCACCCAAGAGAATTCAAAGAAGTCAAGCTGGGTGCAGAAGGCTCAAAGCCTCCCCTGCTGATGCTCCAGAGCCAACCTGCAGAGGCTCACAGGACCAGAGTAAATAGCAGGGAAGGCCTTAGATACACAGAAAGGAAGAAAGGCTGTGAGAAAATGCAGAAATACAAAGCAACAAGCAGAACCCATCAAAGCAAGTAAAAACTTAATAAGGAGAGGAGTCAAGAACTGTAGGAAAATTGACAAAACTGTGGACCCACCTGGAACATAGGTGAGCATCTTTGGTACCAGAGAGCCCCTGCCCTGCCCACCCCTGCTAGCAGCTACACAGCAAGCTCTGGTCAAGGACAAGCTGTCACAGAAGTGACAGCACAGAAAGTTGTCATAGCAGCGTATCTCGAATGGAAGTGTTTCAAAGACGAGCAGTCTAAAATCATTTCTAGGAAGACCTGGAGGAGGGCTCTCAAGGCAACACTTTTCTTTCTTTTTCATGGAGTAGAATTTGGGCTCAAAGTGGGGCCTCCCCCTGGCCTCCATTTCAGTTAGGGATCGAGAAGTTTAGTGGAAATGTAATTCTTTTCAAGAACGTTTTTCCCTCCCAATTTCTAGAATTTATCGTGAAGTGAAAGTTTTATGAATCTGTGCCAAAGGTTTATGTTTAAGGATCTCCATGCTTGTGTATCTGTGGCTTCATGTGAAAAAAAATTTCAAAATTAAGAGCAACTAAAAAAAATGCTTTTGTTTTATGTTATGTTATTTTTTTGTTTTTCAAGATTTTATTTATTTATTTGACAGAGAGAGATCGCTCAAGTAGGCAGAGAGACAGGCAGGGTGGGGGTGGGGGTGGGGAGCCTGATGCAGGGCTCGATCCCAGGACCCTGAGATCATGACCTGAGCCAAAGACAGAGGCTTAACCCACTGAGCCACCCAGATGCCCCGGTTTTATGTTATTTTAAAGAAGCTCCCCCAGAGAGTCTGCTGTGCACTGTGGGATGGGCACCGTTCATCCTGCCAAAAGGACTGGGATGTGAAGAATTTGGAGTTCATGACTTATGTTCCTGCTGGACCCTTGACAAAGGCACTTTATTGGTCATCCCATTGTCCCTCAAACTGTGAGGACGGCAGGATCCCTCAGGGTCCCGCCTTCCCTGCAAGGACGGTGTCAGAGAGCCATGCCGGAGGGCTCCTGGTGCTTCACCTCAGTCACAGCGTACAACCCCAATTTCTTTCTTTTTTTTTTTTTTTAAGAATTTATTTATTTATTTGACAGAGATCACAAGTAGGCAGAGGCAGGGAGAGAGAGAGAGAGGAGGAAGCAGGCTCCCCGCAGAGCAGAGAGCCCGATGCGGGGCTCGATCCCAGGACTCTGGGATCATGACCTGAGCCGAAGGCAGAGGCTTTAACCCACTGAGCCACCCAGGCATCCCTACAACCCCAGTTTCTGAAGTGAGAGAAAGTCCGGAGACATGGGGTCATTGCTCAAGATCACAGAGTCTCTGGCCGAGAGGTCCTGTCTTCCGGCTCCTAGGACTCCCCTGTGCTCGCCCTTGGTGCACTGCCTCAGGCTCACTCTTTGTCTCAGTCTCCCCGGCGATGGGCAAGGGGGCCCCTGTACAGTCACTTCTCCGCCAGAGTCACTTCCTCCACCAAATGTTTGATCACGGAGGGGGTTGTGAGCTCGGGTGCCGCTCCATGGGTGATGGAATTTCTCATCAGCATTTGCCCTGCTGTGCCCTGTCACCCCTCTCTGCGCTGTCACCCCACCCCAGAGGCTACAGCCCCTGAAACTGTGCAGCTTCTTATTGTTTCCATGAATTCTCTTTTCAGTTTTCTTAGGCTCTCTCTGCTTTCCCTGTTTTCTTTTCAGAGCACTTGCCTTAAGGACAGGGAGGTGGGGACAATGACCTCAGGGCCAGTGGGCTGTAAGGGAAGCCCAACACGTTACATCTAGAGGCCACCTCTGACTCCCTGAGCCCGGAGCCCCCTGCCCCTTTCCCAGTCCCTCTTCAGCCTGGTCCTAGAGGCAAGCATTCTTGCTTTCATGTTTTCAAGATGCCCTTGGGAGGCCCTGGCCAAGGCTGATTTTTCTGTCGTCCTTCCAGGGTACTTTTGCGTTGACACAATGGTAGGACATCTTTGCCTCAGAACAAGCCTGCCTGGTGCACTGTTGGTTTAACCCCCAACTGACCACAAAGCTGCCCGGCAGTCAGTTTGGCTGCTGCCTAAAAGGACAGGCTCAGAATTTCTGGGATCGACCCCCAGAGGACCCCCTGGGTAAACAGCTGTCTTGGTTGCCTGGTTCTGGGTTATCTGGCTGACCGTGACAGTGAATTAATTCCTTCTGCAAGCTCTTGACGATCTTTCCAATGGATGACCTGGCCAGCAGCTCCCTGGTTAACTGAGTAACTAATGCCTCTTCACAAGCTGCTGGGCGCATGTCTGCTGGGTCTGAGCTGGGAAGCCTGGAGAATGCTGATGTCCCCTTCCTTATGCTCTGCCTCTGTTGGGATCTCAGGGGTCCCTAACAGTCCTCAGAAGCAGGTCTACCTTGAGAAACACTCTTAATTGGAGGCCTATGGAGCCACAGGGTGTCTGGCATCACATTCAGTATTGTGTGTGGAGATGATGTATTCAGACTTGTGCATGGATGACAATGTGCATTTTCTGAGGAGACGGCCAGTAACATTTGTTGAGTTCTCAAAGGGTCTAGGAGCTATGAGAAGTTATGAACCATTTACCTAAGGAGACCCATCCATCTCAGAAAGACCCAATACTGACTCTCTGGATCCTTTTTCATTCCTGTTCCCAGACACCAAAGGGACAGGGAGGGGACTTGCAGGGAACCTTGTGGCCTGGGCTGAATGAGAATGTGGGAGGCAGTTCAGGACCCCGTGGTCTTCTGGGTCCCATTCAGGGTCCTGCAAAAATGACTTAATGATCCCCCATCAAGGGTCATCAAGGTTCAGGGGTCCATGAAGTACACACTCTGGGTGTGTGTGGGGTTCCCAGAGAGGGTCTGAGTCTGCTTGTACTGTGGGTCTGGGATAATCCAGAGTGGACCGAGGCTGACCCCTGGAGTGGCTAAAGCATATAAGCCTGTTGCCTGTTAAGCTTGTACACATTTTACTTTGGGCCTCACCCAGTGTCCCTTGGTTCCAGTCTCTGGTAGTCAGTCAGCTGTTTCCTGGGCAACCGGACTTTTGTATTAGGTGACTTTTTAGATACAGCAACAGACCAGACAGCCACAACCAGAAACTCCTACCTTACCAATACTGGGGACTTCAGTAGGGGCTGAAATCTTTGTAGGGGGCCTTTCACTAAGCTGGAACGTTGATGGCAGAGGGCCAGGGGGCAAGTGATGCCTATTCGGGGGCTGTCTCACTTTCACAAGTCCTAGAAGACATTTGCTTTTTTTGCTTTCGTATATTACAAATAACCTTGGCTGAAACCTAATTTGTCTTGGCAAGTGGCTCCAAAATGTTACAGTGCTCTTTGGTTATTCCATAGGGGTACTTTGGTGAAAAACAGATCACCCGAGTGGTTCTCAATGACTAATCATTGGATTTGTGACACAAGAGCTTACCTGTTCCTACCAACACACTGGATGGAAACTTGCTGCTTTCTTTCTTTCTTTTTTAAAAGACGTATTAGAGAGAGAGAGAGAGAGAGCGCGCGTGGACAAGTGGGGGGAGGGGCAGAGAGTGAGAATCTCAAGCAGACTCCCTGCTGAGCATGGAACCCAAATGTGGGGCTCCCATGAGAACATGAGCTGAGCTGAAACTAAGAGTTGGACACTCAACCAAGTGAGCCACCAGGTACCCAGAGACTTGTTGCTTTCTTTCAGGATTGCCCCTGATGTTGCCCAGTGTCCATTCTGGCCCATCAGTTTCTCCTCTAGGGAAAAAGAGATTAGGTAACTTAATTCAAGAAGGAAAAAAAACTGGGCCTTGACTTAAAACAGAAACCCTCACGACTCAAGGGGAATTCTAGATTGCTTTCTTCTTTTCCTCATGCCTCTTCACTTCTCGCTTTACAGGAGGTCCAGGAGATGGGAGATCCCGTGTGCTACGGACGAGCAGGTGAGTTAAATCAAGACTTTGAGGCTATAGAGCTCCTCAGTTAAGAGGTTTGTGAAAAAGGACCAGGAGCTGGGTGAAGCAGGCATGGTACTCCGCTTCGGCACATTTAAGAGGCTGTCAAAAAATCCTGCAATCAAGCCAACGTGTTATTCTGGTGGTGGAGCAGTGGATTACCCTGTGCCTGACAAAGCAGAGCTCGTGAACCCGGCTGTCTTCTGCCATCTGACTGTGGTGCTGGGGCATTGGCCTGTTCTTTTCCGCCTGGCTTTTCATTTATGAAGTACACTGGGGAGATCTACGGAGCTCCTCATCTCTTTGGTGTCCTCGCTCTTCATTGGCTTTGGAGTCCTCTTCCAGATGCTCGGGGTTGACATCTACATATGAGCTCCCAAGCGTTCCAACCAGGCAGCTTCACTGAATCCCTGCTTTCGTAAATTAATTTTTTTTTTTACTATTGCTGGAAGTGTTCCACCTGCTGTTCACAATAAAGGCAGTTATGTGACCCCAAAAAACACCCCCCAAAACAGCCAAACCCTGTAATAAAGATAATATTTTAATGTAATCTTTTTAAAATTTATTTTATTTTATTTATTTACTTTTTAAAAATTTTATTTATTTATTTGACAGAAAGAGATACAGGGAGAGAGGGGACACAAGCAGGGGGAGTGGGAGAGGGAGAAGCAGGCTTCCTGCAGAGCGGGGAGCCTGATGCCTGATCGATCTCAGGACCCTGGAATCATGACCTGAGGCAAAAGCAGATGCTTAACAACTGAGCCACCCAGGCGCCCATCAGTTTCATCTTATAGAAAGAAAAGGTGGGAAGAAAGGAGGTGGGGGAGGAGGGAGGAAAGGAAAAAAAGGAGGAAGACAGGAAAGGAATGAATAAGAAAAGGAAAAGGAAACAATGGGTATATCAGATGAGTTTATTTCTATTCTTGGTCTTCTATTTATTATGTAAACAGTAAAGAGAAGTTCAGAGAAAAACCACCGCCTAAGATAAAATCTTGTGGAGGGATTAACTTTGTTTTTTCTTCTCTTTTCTGGTATCTGTTAAAACCACTAATTTATTTTATTTTTTAAAGATTTTATTTATTTATTTGACACAGTGAGAGAGATCACAAGTAGGCACAGAGGCAGGCAGAGGGGGAGCGGGAAACAGGCTCCCTGCTGCAGCAGAGAGCCGGACGTGGGGCCCGATCCCAGGACCCTGGGATAACGATGACCGGAGCTGAAGGCAGAGGCCTCAACCTACTGAGCCACCCACGCGCCCCTCCCCATATTTTTAAGTGAAATAAGATTGGGAAAACGCTGAAGCCACATCCAGCACAAGGCAGTGGAGTAGAGACGGATGGGATAGCTATGTCTGCACTTGTTTGGGAGTGATCGTGTCAGCCGAGCTAACTCTGAGAACAAAATCAGGATTTCAGTGAAACCTGTCCCTCTGTTCTGAATGTCTCCTTCCCAGTGTTATAGCATGAGGGTTTATTGAAAGAATATTTCCTGACATTAATATCTGAAAGAAGTTTGAGTGGTTGCCTCAGTCTCAAGAATAAGACAAGGAGAAATAACTCTCATGATTTATCATTGAAGAAGCAGAAGTCTAGAGACAAAAATACAAGTATCTGTCCCCAAAAAGTTAGTACATACCCCAATATACAGCATCAGTACACCTCAGTGGACTTCCGGCAAGTGTCTTTTTTTTTTTTTTTTAAGATTTTATTTATTTATTTGACAGCACAGGTAGGCAGAGCAGCAGGCAGGGAGAGGGAGAAGCAGGCTCCCCGCTGAGCAGAGAGCCCAATGTGGGGCTCGATCCCAAGACCCCGGGATCATGACCTGAGCTGAAGGCAAATGCTTAACCACCAAGCCCACCCAGGAGCCCCTCAAGTGTCTTTTTTTAAGGACTCATTTTTATCCTCTGAAAAACTGAGATGAAACTTCTGCAGCATTTCTTCCCGAGTTAAAGCACCCTGATTTGGAGTGGGCAGCCTTGTACCCATTGAAAAGGGTATCTCTTCCAGGTCCCCTAGCAGCTGGATTCCCTGTGTAGTCCCTGTGACTACCTTTCAGGCAATCTGTACAGATAAGACTGTGTGGTTTCTGAGCAATGTTCTTATTAGGGAGGGTGTGCACCCTTCTCCCTTTCTTTCTCTTTGCTGCTCAGGATGCATATATCATGGCGGGAGCCCCAGCAGCCGTTCTGGGCCCTTCTGCCCTAGGATGGCAGTGCAGAGAGCTAGGAGCCCACATCCCTATGGATAAACAGAGTGCTAACCGTGTTTATGCCATAGCTCCTTGGGATTTGTTTGGGGATAGAGTTAATCCTTCCTGATAATGCCTCTCTCTTCCAGTTGCTGTGTGGACATGCAAGGGAAATCTCCATGTCAGTCCATGTGGTGTACATCTGAGAGAAAATCTGAAAGGCCACAAATCTGAATGTCTAACATGACCAAAGCTCACCACAGGTAGATTTTAGGTGATTACCACTTTTTTTCTACTGCTTGACTTTTTTTGCTTTTATTAATTTTCCATAATCAACAAGTATCACATAACAAAAACTAAAACAGAATATAAAGAAAATGTTAAGGGGCATCAGCTGATAATTCTCAGAACCAGAAGTGTCCTTTTAGCTGCCATGAAAAAATGTTCAACTTCCTGAGTTATTAAGCGAAAACCCAAGTCCTGAGATTCTCTTTTGCAGTTCTCAAGATGCAGATTATCTTTACATAATAATACCCAGGATAATAGAAGACACTGTGAACCCATCTGTCACAAAGATATATAAAACCTCCCCAGCGAGGCACAGGACAGATGGGGATGGGAGATGTGGTGTAGGGGTGAGAGAGTTTGCTAAAGTTCCTGTGGCAAGAAAGAAATGGATACTGTTGAGTTTAAAAAACAAATATAAGTATCGATCTTAAGGACAACCATCATAAAAAAACAGAGTACATTGCTTTTTAAATTTTTAAGAATTATTATTATTATTATTATTATTATTATTATTATTATTTTGAGAGAGAGTGTGCATGTGCTGTGGGGTTGGGAGGGGCAGAGGGTGAGGGAGAGAGAGAGAGACTCTTAAGCAGGCTCCACACTCAGCACAGAGCCTGATGCGGGCTCTGAGATCATGACCTGAACTGAAATCAATAGTCAGAGGCTTAACTGACTGAGCCACCCAGGTGCCCCAGAGTGAAGTGCTTTTAAAGCACCAGGGAAATACTCCCCCAAATTTGATCTGTACAATGGACACATGAAAGAAAAGTAGAAAAAACCTCTTAGTAAACTAGATCTATAAGGGAACTTCCTTAATCTTGTAAAAGCTATAAACCCAAACCTGTTACTTCTACTTAATTTAAAACTTTAGGGGCACCTGGGTGGCTCAGTTGTTTGTTAAGTATCTGCTTTCGGCTCAGGTCATGATCCCAGGGTCCTGGGATCAAGCCCTCTCTGAGCAGCAGGAAGCCTGCTTCTTCCTCCCCACTCCCCCTGCTTGTGTTCCCTCTTTTGCAGTCTGTCTCTCTGTCAAATAAATAGATAAAATCTTAAAAAAAAATTATATATATATAAAAAAACTTTAGAAGCATTCCCTTTAAAACCAAACACAAAATATGATGTCCACATTATAATTCCATAGTTAGGGGTGCCTGGGTGGTCCAGTTGGTTAAGCTTCTGCCTTTGGCTTAGGTCACGATCCTAGAGTCCTGGGATTGGGCCAGTAAGGGGAAGTCTGCTTCTCCCTCTCCTTCTGCTTCTCCCCCACCCTCATGCTTGCTCTCGCTCTCTCTCTCTCTCTCACTCTGTCTCACTCAAATAAATATAATCGTGTAGGGGCGCCTGGGTGGCTCAGTGGGTTAAAGCCTCTGCCTTCGGCTCAGGTCATGATCCCAGGGTCCTGGAATCGAACCCCGCATTGGGCTCTCTGCTCAGCAGGGAGCCTGCTTCCTCCTCTCTCTCTGCCTGCTTGTCTGCCTGCTTGTGATCTCTGTCTGTCAAATAAATGAATAAAATCTTTTAAAAAAATATATATATAATCGTGCAAAAAATAACTCCATAGTTAAACATAGCTCCAGAGTCTGGCAAAACGCTAGGATAAGAAAGGGAGGAGAGGGGAGAGGATAGGTAGGTAGGTAGGTAATTAGATACCTAGATAGATAGGAATGAATGTGAGGAAAGAATATAAAGAGGGGGAATAACACTGACATGATCTGCAGGCAACATGGTCATCTGTTGAGGTGACCATCCACTATATAGAACAGGTCTGTGTTTTGTCCTAGAGCCTCACGAAACTCCTTCATCTGGGTGTCTTCTCCTTATACCCAGGTTGTCTCTGGGGAAGGAGGTAGGAAATACCCAGACAACGGTAGTTCCAACAGTAAGAGTGTCTTTGTTCCCACTTCCAGCATCCCAGGGGTAGCATGAGAGACAGAAAGATTTGGGATTACCACAGCTTCAAAAGACAGCTTTTCTGTTTTTACTGTGTTAATACCTTTTGTATCAGTACAAAAATATTATGTATGTGTGTTGCTTGCTCTCTCTCTCTCCCCATACACACCCACACCACCTCCCGAACACACACACACACACCCGTACCTTGACCAAAGCAGTGCAAATCAGAATCAGAAAAGTATTCACTAAGTGACATTTCATGTTGTGGGCCATAAGCTGTCTTTTAGGTTTTACACGAGGAAGATAGGTAATTGTATAATTGCATGCCCATCCCAGAGGAAGAAAAATCAAGTGTATGTATTTCACAAGAAAGAAAGCCAAAAGCCAACAGCAGCCAAAGGAAATTCTGATTTACCTTCTTTGGCATCAACTCCAGGATATGTTTTGATTGAAAATCCGGGGACCAATACATGATCCCTGTGATTGTTTCCAGGAACAGAGCCCAGAGAAAGTGAAGGCATTTTTTGTTCAACCCTGGTTAAATGTTGACCTCCTTAGGAGTGTATTTCCTTTGGTGGGCATTCCTTACTTTTCCAGGATGAATTAGAGATAAGTTGATGGGACATGGCAAGCTAAGCACTTAGCCCTGTGCCTCACAGGCTGAGATTTCAATTCTACAAAATCAGAATGCGTAGATGGCCATGTGCTCACAGGGCCAGCCCCTCCAGACTCAAGGATGAGAAACCAGGATGGTGTCAGGATGGTCACATGGGCTGCACTGGTGTGGGTGGAGGGGACTTCAGTATTTCATTCCATCTACATGGGGGGCCAGTAGGACATGTGAATGACTCTTCTGTTGTCAGGAAACATACGTAAGAAAGAAGACATGTCCTTATTAACAAGCTAATTTATGATATAAGCCAAATCATTTGAGTAAATAAATAAAAGGTTAATCTGGGGGTACCTGCATGGCTCAGTTGGTTAAGTGTCTCCCTTTGGTTCAGATCACGATCCTAGGGTCCTTGGATAGAACCCCGCATCAGGCTTCTTGCTAAGTGGGGAGCCTTCTCCTTCCTGTCCCTCTGCCTGCCACTCCCCCTGCTTGTGCTCTGTCAAAAAAAATAAATAAATAAAATTCTTAAAAAAAAAAATCTGTCAGACCAAATACAGATTGATATGCACAGTTGCTAAAGAATTATTAAATAAGGGCACCTGGGTGGCTCAGTGGGTTAAGCCACTGCCTTCAGCTCTGGTCATGATGTCAGGGTCCTGGGATCGAGTCCCTCATCAGGTTCTCTGCTTGGCAGGGATCCTACTTCCCCCTCTCTCTCTCTGCCTGCCTCTCCATCTACTTGTGATCTCTCTCTGTCAAATAAATAAATAAAATCTTTAAAAAAAAAGAATTATTAAATAAGTGGAAAGTTTCATATAAAAAGGAAAAAGAATTTGGAATATCAGTATTTTTTAACTCTTAAGCGAGCTCAATTGAAAAATAATAGAATAAGAGTTAAGTGGAAAGTAAAATTTCACTTTCTTTTCTTTCTTGTTTTCTTTTTTTAAAGATTCCATTTATTGGGGCACCTGGGTGGCTCAGTTGTTAAGCATCTGCCTTCAGCATAGGGTCCTGGGATTGAGCTCCCTGCTCCACCGGGAGCCTGCTTCTCCCTCTCCGTGTTCTCTCTCTCACTGTGTCTCTCCTTGTCAAAAAATAAATAAAATCTTAAAAAAAAATAAAGATTCCATTTATTCACTTGGTAGAGAATGAGTAAGTGGGAGAGCACACACAGGGGGAGCAGCAGAGGGAGAGGGAGAAGCAGTCTCCCCACTGAGCAGGGATCCTTATGTGGGGCTTGATCCCAAGACCCTGGGATCATGACCTGAGCTGCAGATAGATGCTTAACCCACTGAGCCAACCAAGTGTCCTGAAAGTAGGGTTTCTATGTCAAATCTGTCCAACATGGCCCTATTCAAATCACCTGGAGGTATTATTTTTAAAGTTTTTTTTTTTTTTTTAAGAGTTATTTGCGAGAGAGAGAGAGCATGCATGTGCATGTGTGCACACACTTGCCGGGAGAGGCAGAGGGAGAGGGAGAATCTGTAGTAGACTCCTTGCTGAGCTCAGAGTTCTACTGGGGGTTCGATCTCATGACCCTGAGATCATGACCTAAACCAAAATCAAGAGTTAGACGCTTAACCAACTTAGCCACCCAGGTGCCCCTAGAGATTTTATTTTTAAGTAATATCTACACCTAACATGGGGCTTGAACCTACAACCCCAAGATCAAGAGTCATGTGCTCTGCTGACTGAGCCAGCCAGGCGCCCCTAGAGGGATTTTATTTTTTTTTAAGATGTATTTATTTATTTATTTATTTGACAGAGAAAGAGATCACAAGCAGGCAGAGAGGAAGGCAGAGAGAGAGGAGGAAGCAGGCTCCCTGCTGAGCAGAGAGCCCAACTCGGGGCTCGATCCCAGGACCCTGAGACCATGACCTGAGCTGAAGGCAGAGGCTTAACCCACTGAGCTACCCAGGCGCCCCCCTAGAGGGATTTTTAAACATATAGATGCTTAAGGCCTCATGCGGAATACCAGTGCAGGGGCCCTGGGACTGGGCTGGGAAATGGACAGTTTTAAGAACCTTGAAGTTTTATATTGAATCGACAGTGACACTAAGTCAGCATTTCATTTTCTTTCCAAAATCAGATAAAAACAGTTATGATCTTCAGATAAACTAGACGGAGCTGAAATGTTGAACCACCAAGTGAGAGAGGGACCATCAACAGCCCAAGGAGGGAGGGCTAAGAACGGGCCGCAGGAGGAGCACACATCCTTTCTCGCAAGATCGGGTTGGGGTGCAGCCGCCTTCTTTGCAGCTGCAGAGAATAAGGAATCTCACATCTAAGCCATATAGACAGAAAAGAGTCAGTTTGGTGGAGAAAAGGGGGGCTCTCCCCAAGTCTGTTCACTGTTGGTGAGAACTGACAAACCCATGAAAGACATGAAAGGCACAGAATAGTGGGTCATCTCTGGGGGCTGCAGTATCCACATGGTAGCCACTTGGGAAACCAGCTTCCTGCTATCTAGCAGGGCT